ATTTAAAAGACACTAAAATCATTTTTGAGTAAAGAAAAAAAATTCTACCAATCAGGTCACTTTGAGAAAAAGCGTGCCCATAGTGTGCCTAAAGTGCATCACTCCATGGGTTTATCAATTTCATTGCAATCGTGACACACTAACCTATCTCGCCCAGTTATGAGTTATTAACTTGGCTGAGACTTGGCCCAGATATGGTCCGTGTTTGGCCCTTGTCTGGAAGCCAGATTTAGTCCAGTCATGTACCGTAATTCACTGCGGCATGTGGGCCAAGCAAAACCTGATTGTGTGGGCCAGAGCTGGGCCAGAGAAATTTTGCTATGTGGGTAGGCATGGACATATATACTGTGATCGTGATTTTCGAAAGTTTTAAATTGCTTTGTAAACGTTTATTATTACCATTTCATGAGTCTACCCATTCAGTTGAATAGAGCGATTGGACCTGGAAGCCGCTTCGCGTGACGTCACACTTAACAAGCGGATAAAGCGCACATGTTTTGAGGTAGGGTTGGGTATCGCTTGGGGTATTTCAATACCGGTGCTAAATCGATACTTTTAAAACGGTACCGGTGCCAAAACGGTGCCTGAACCGATACTTTTTAGCCACAAAATTATTTGACAAAAAATATATATTTTTACCATTATAATTGAACAGTATAAATATATAATTATAAGTTTAAAGTAAACATCAACTCATATATATATTTGACTTGCATTAATATATTTCTTTTGATCAACCCTATTTTGAGGTAATTCATCATGATGCGATTTACCTTTTATGTGTGATTTGATTGGACAGGAATCACAGGACTTATTTTTCTAATTCTCATAGACAAGAAAAATAAAGAAGTAACTGCAGGTTGAGGGAAAGAAGTGGAGTAAAAGTACAGATTACTGCACTAAAAATACTCTCAAAGGAAAGTAAAAGTACACATTTTTAAAACTACTTACTAAATTACAATTCCTGAGAAAAACTACTCAATTACAGTAATTTGAGTATTTGTAATTAGTTACTTTACACCACTGATAAAAACTATTAAAGATCAGTCTGGGAGTCACTACTTTACTACTTGGTTTCATCAAAGTATTAAAAAAAGTGATGCGCTGCCTTCTTTAAATGCGTTCACTACTCCTTTGTGGTTTTAATATTAGTATTGGCATCAGCTGAATGCCGACTTAAATAGAAATGACCTTATGTCTTTGGGGGAATCTGTACATGATGCTTTGGAAATGGATTCTAGTTCTTTGCGTGTGAGGGATGGCAGACAGAAGTGAACTGGTGAATTGAGAGGAAAAACTCTCCCTGATCTCTTGCTGTTCACAGCGTGTTTGACCGGCTCAACAAAACTCTAAGAGAGAAATAAAGATAAAGACAATGGCTGCTTTTATTTTCTTTTTTTAGCTGCACATTCCTCAGAAAGTATGAAGATCGGCCACCCTCCTCGCGAAAATGAATCACAGCCAGACAAATTCATGTCTGGGTACTAGCGTTACTTTACTACAGTCGCAGGTAAGGTTACGGATTTTTCCTCACCCGAGCTCTCGCTTGCCTTTATTCAGACTCTTTCTACCTTTCTGTCCTGGCAGCCCAAACTATTGCCATCTCTGGAAATCAGACAGATCCTCTAGCCAGATGATGGTCACTGTTGTTTTTTTAACATTAACAAGTGTTAACTTGATGTGACCTCCAGATACAGGGTGTTGTTAGTGTGTTTAAGGGTATATTTGAATTATTACTAAGCAGACAGTGGCTATTTATCACATTTTTTACTTTAATAAGTAATTCAACTAGGGGTTTGAAATCAATTTAGAAAACCAATAAAGATATATATATATATATACATGTGTGTGTGTGTGTGTGTGTTTGTGTGTGTGTGTGTGTGTGTGTGTGTGTGTGTGTGTGTGTGTGTGTGTGTATATATATATATATGTGTGTGTGTGTGTGTGTATGTATGTATATATATATATATATATATATATATATATATATATATATATATATATATATATATATATATATATATATATAATTTGACATTACTTATTGACAATAGCCCTTCTGACAATATACACTCACCGGCCATTTTATTAGGTACACCTTACTAGTACCTGGTTGATCCTCGTTTTGCCTTAACTGCTTTAATCCTTCGTGGCATAGATTCAACAAGATACTAGAAGAATTCCTCAGAGACTTTGCTCCATATTGACATGATAACATCACATCCATGATGTTAATCTCCCGTTCCACCACATCCCAAAGGTGCTCTATTGGATTGAGTTCTGGTGACTGTGGAGGCCATTTGAGTACAGTGAACTCATTGTCATGTTCAACAAACCAGTCTGAGATGATTTACGCTTTATGACATGGTGCGTTATCCTGCTGGAAGTAGCCGTTAGAAGATGAGTACACTGTGGTCATAAAGGGATGGACATGGTCAGCAACAATACTCAGGTAGGCTGTGGCGTTGACACAATGCTCAGTTGGTACTAATGAGCCCAAAGTATGCCAAGAAAACAACCCCCACACCATTACACCACCAGCAGCAGCCTAAACCATTGATACAAGGCAGGATGGATCCATGCCTTCATGTTGTTGACATCAAATTCTGACCCGACCATCCGAATGTCACAGCAGAAATTGAGACTCATCAGAGCAGGCAACAATTCTTTAATGTTGCCTTTCTATCAGCAGGGACCAGTCTGGCCATTCTCCTCTGACCTCTGGCATCAACAAAGCATTTGTGCCCTCAGAACTGCCGCTTACTGGATATTTTCTCTTTATCAGACCATTCTCTGTAAACCCTTGAGATGGTTGTGCGTGAAAATCCCAATAGATCAGCAGTTGCTGAAATACTCAGAGCAGCCCGTCTGGCACCAACAACCATGCCACATTCAAAGTCGCTTAAATCACCTTTCTTCCCTATTCTGATGCTCGGTTTGAACTGCAGCAGATCGCCTTGACCATGTCTGCATGCCTAAATGCATTGAGTTGCTGCCATGCGATTGGCTGATTTGAAATTTGCGTTAATGAGCAGTTGGACTGGTGTACCTAATAAAGTGGCCAATATAGTTCTTTGCAGTCAAAACACCATATATGGAGAGAGTATACACAAATATCTCATCAGATTAATTCAAGCTTTGTAAACTAGGTCAAGCTCACCTCTGCCATACAAATCTGGCATGTATACAGGGAAATATACAGTTTTTAAAAAAGGAAATGTCATTAACATAACTTGTACGACCTGAATATGTTGTTTGTTCCCGTAATGTTTTGTCTACTTAACATAAAAACTGCTACACAGACTATGAATAGATTTTTACCAACATTCTTCATTTCGTAATAGAGATTCATTACTGCGTGTAGTTTGCAAAATAGTGAAGTAACTGCATTTCAATTAAATTTAGCTACAATGAACATATTTTACTGAAGTCATTACTCAAAAACTGCATTTTCATTTAGGATTCCACAATTAAGCTATAAACGCACTTCACTTCTGTCTGTTAAAGGGAACTCTACAAAAGAGGAACAGAAATCTAACCTGCATAGACAAAATAATAAATTAATATTTTCAATAATAATCAGGGTATGAATTATCAACGATCAGGGGGCTCTCCCTGCGTTCGCATGGGTTACCTCCGGGTGCACCATGCGGTACAGGTGAATTGGGTGGGCTAAATTGTCTGTAGTGTATGAGTGTGAATAAGTGTGTATGGATGTTTCCCAAAGATGAGTTGCAGCTGGAAGGGCATCCGCTGCGCAAAACATGCTGGATAAGTTGGTGGTTCATTCTGGTGTGGCGACCCCAGATTAATAAAGGGGCTAAGCCCAAAAGAAAATGATTGAATGTTTTAAGACTATTAAACGCAATGCAGATTTGTAGCCACTTTTTTTTTGTATTTGTTGATTTAACTTGTTATTTATTTAAATAAACAGACAAACAAACAAACAAACTATTAAATAAATAATGCATATTTTATTTTTATTTATTTATTTATTTTTATTTTATTTTACCTCATATCGAGACCTTAAATCCTAAACATAATATATATTTGCAGCAATAATTTTTTTGCAATTGTCAATTTAACTATTTATTTATTTATTTATTTACACAAACAAATACAGAAATAATCAATTCATCAAAAAATGCATTTTTAGGCCATTTACCTCATAAAATAGATTTGCTAGTATAGATTTAGGTTGATTACCTCATTTTAAGGTATATTTCGTTGTCACCTTATCACATAAGAGTTATTACCTCATAAAAAAAAAAAAAAAAAAATATATATATATATATATATATATATATATATATATATATATATATATTTATATTTATTTATTTATTTATTTATTTAAACAAACCAATACAAAATAAACAATAAATTAATAAATAAATAAATAAATAAGTAAGTAAATAAACGTATTTTTAAGCCATTTACCTCACAAGACCTTGCCTTCTAACCGCAATATAGATATGCAACCACTTTTTTGCATTTGTTGATTTAACTCACAAACAAACAAACAAACAAATAATTAATGATTTTATAACACTAAAGTAAAAGTTTAATTTAATTCCCCCAACATCTGTAAATTGCTTTGTGTACCCAGAAAAGCACTATATAAATGTAAATAATTATTATTTATTATTATTATTATTATTATTATTATTATTATTATTATTATTATTATTATTATTTTTATTATTATTATGTCTGTTTTCTATGTTTCACTTGTATATTTGTAAGGCAGCTACACAGAAAAAAAATGATTTATTAGGATTTACATTTTTTTTTTAAGGTAAGTGTAAACAATTAATATGGGCTGAATTTAAACAAATTAAGTTGAACATTACTAAATGTAATCTGGCTAGTTTAAACTCAGCCCATATAATATGTTTGCAACTAGTTACCTTAAAAAAAAGAAACATTGTTTTTCAGTGTTCGTTCCCACAAGAATAAATCTGCGTGCGCGCGCATACAATCACGCGCAGCGGGACGAACTCATTGTGGTAGAGCCGCACGCGCGCGCGCTGAGTACACGAGCAGGAGGAGGAGAATCTTCAGCTCCTTCATTTATTGAAGGTTTCTTCACATTAGTGTGCACTCGAGTGCGCACACACGCAGGGAGCGACACACACACGGCACAGCTCGAGAGCACACTGCGATACACGCAAACACTTCGCTTTTAATAGTCGAATATAACATTATGATGCGACATTAAACTCGTCTGTCGGCGCTTTGAAGAACCCGCGTCACGCTAGGATGGACAAACTTTTCTGAACTTTTTCGCTGATTTTTCGCTTGCTTTGCTTCGGATATGGTAAGTGCATCATTTATTTACTTATTAATTTTGTCTTATCGTGATGTATTTGACAATAGCAAACTACTACAATTGGTCAAATCTTTATAACATAACGCGCAATATAGCCTATCATACAGCAGTCAACATTTAAATAGCTCATCACCTTTCATTAAAACCATCATAAAAATATTAAACAACAGCCATTCTTGATGAAGGATAACTTTGAAAACTGTTTAGTCCCACTTCAAATGTTGACTTATATCAGTATCGTCAGAAGAACCCAGACAAAGGAAGAAAAAGCAGCTTTGCATCTCGGAGTTATCGCAATACTTTATTGTCACGTTATTTTTTTAGAGAGTTTAAAGTTTGTTTATGATATATTTTTAGTAATAAATAATAAATAAATAAATAAAATAATAATAAATAAATATAATTATTTAGCAATATAAAGTGTTAACGTCAGATGAGATAACATTTAAAAGCTTATTGTGCGTCAAAGGAAACAAAAATCACCAATTGAAAGAAATTATAATAACACTTTATTATTAATCCATACAACACTCTTTATGGCCACTTTAAATGAATCCACTTAAAATAATAGACTGTTTTTATCAATTAAAACAGCATTATTAATATAGTAAAAGAATAGAGTATACATAAATCAAATGTATGCATAAATGAATGTAAAAATAATGCTATAGCGTTTGTGGTTTGATTTAAGATGCAGATTGAACGTGTGATTCAGTTTAAAGTCGTTTTACATTGTTTAAATTGTTTTTGTTTTATTATATTTAGCCTCACATGCCTCTTAATTTTCAATACATGAAGAAAATAACACCTTGATATTTTTAGGGGTTTTAGTTTTATGCATTATAGCACAGAAAATTAGTTAAAACTGGTGATTCATTTTAAGACACATTTTACGCTCTTTTTTGTGTTAGAGGTAATGCTTTTTATGTGCTTTGTTCATTACACTTTAGTCCAAAAAAGGTTGAACGAGTTTTAATTTATAATTATATTGAATTAATATTAATAAAGACTTTTTAGGCACACGTATGTTTTTAGAGTCAGACTTCCGCATCAGAGTGACCAAACGCAACAAAAATAATCACAATTATAATTAATAAAGTAATAATTGATGACAAAAACACTTGATAAATAAACAAATTATGTTCATACATAAAAATAAAATGACAAAAAAAGTATAATAATTATGATTTAGGGGCTTTTATATCATCAAAGACCGATACAGCCAAACTCTATAAGGTAAATAAAATAATAATTAGAAATGTTGTTCTTGCTTTTGACCAGTGTGTTATGTGAAATATACTAGTTTAGCTTTTACATTTCAGGTTCAAAATGCTATGCAATATTAATTTGCTTCATCGTCGGATATTTTTAAAATGCAAAAACACTCTTTAAAAGGAAAAGGGCCTTGCCACTAATTAAAAACAAAGTAAATTGAAACTGCAGTAGTCTTATTTACATCTATTTTCTTAATAATAGCTTCTTTCACATGCATATTTTTATTACACTTCATATGATCACTCATGCTACTGTTTTTGTTCTCGTTTAAGCTTGTGCATACGTGTCTATTCGCGAGAGCTGTTTTTTGTTCGCAATGAGATAAATCAATGGCGTATTTCACATCAAGCCTGATGATTACTCAGTCAGGAAGCTAATAAGGTAATTTTAGGGTGCCTTGCTAAGCATTTTTCAAAGAGAAGCATTCATCGTCCTTGAGAAGCTCTCTCAGCCCCCTGCTCAATACCTTCACTGCTTTTTTTTCTCACAAAAACTCAGGTCACAATTGCACAATTCCAGATTATTAAGTAAGTACTCTATCGGAGAATGAAATCTGAAGTTAGTTTCATGTGTTGCAGATGTAGTAAACGCTGATGCTTTCTTTCTCTGTTTGCAACAACACAAACAAGTCCAAGAAATATTGACTCATGCATTTTCTGACATGGCAACAATAAAACCAAATCGTATTTCTCACGACAGAACGTCAATCATTTTTGACTTTCATAACTTTTAAACATTGTGATAAGGGGGGCATTCATCATCTCGTACTTCTTGGATTTCACTTGAAAAGAGAAGATTTTTGCTGCTTGTTGTTGTTTTATGTTCAAACCACTTAAAATTTGTAAAAAATAATTGAGTTAATTAATTTGAGTTGGGAGAATATGAAATAATTGTGTGGAAACCTGCATTTTTACAGAGAATTATATAAAAATTATTAATTATATAAAAAAAAAACATGCATTTTCTGACATGACAACAATAAACCAAGTTGTATTTCTCATGACGGAAGTGCAGTGCAGTCATTTTTGACTTTAGTAACTTGAATGATTTGAAGAAAACATTGTAATAAGAGTGGCATTCATCTCATACTTCTTGGATTTCACTTAAAAAGAAAAGATTTTTGCTGCTTGTTGTTGGTTTTCCATTAAAGCCACTTTAATTTGTAAAAACAATTAAGTTAACTTAATTAATTTGTGTTGAGAGAACATGAAGGAATTGCACAAAGAAGTGCACTGTAAAAAGTGATTAGTTGCTTAAAGCGAGTAAACAAATTGCCTTAAAAGAAACAAGTTGATTTTACAAAAATAATGTAAGTAAACCCATTGTTACTTGGAACTGTTAAGTTGACTTAATTTTTATTATTATTATGCAAGTTGTATTCACTTTTTTAAAATAAAAGTAATCTGATCTCTTTTTCCAATATACATTTATTATATATATATATATATATATATATATATATATATATATATATATATATATATATATATATATATATATATATATATATATATATATTTTCAGCTTTTCTGTGTCTAGAAAAATGACAGTAACTTAAATAAATCTGCTCTTCCAGACTCCAGTATGTCTTCTAAATTCAATACAGGCTATAATTGTAAATTCTATCGACTTAATGAAGCAACTAATATGTAATATTGCAAAAACTGCAGTAATTATTTGAAAAGAGACGTGCTAAAATGGTTTGTAATTGTAAAAAAGGATTAGTTGACTTTAAAAAGTAAGTACAATAAGCATAATTATAAAAATTAAGTCAGCTTAACAATTCCAAGTTACATTGAGTTTACTTACATTATTTTTGTAAAGACAACTTTATGCTTTTAAGGCAATTTGTTTACTCACTTTAAGTAACTAATTACTTATTTTTTATTTACTATTTACTTATTCTTTAATTACTAATTACTAAAAAACTCAAGGAAGCACTAAAAAAACAGTTTTTTACTTGTTCAAACTACTTAATTAAAATAAGCGGAAGCAACACAATTCTTGAGATTTCATTGGGACAACTTAATTTTTTATGTTTAATCCACATAAATTTGTTAAAAGTGTTAAGTTAACTTAGTCAATTTGTGTTGGGACAAAATGAGTGAATTGTGTGGAACCCTGCATTTTTTTTTGTTTGTTTTTTACAGCGAGTGTACTCTGTAAAAAAACTCAGGGTTCCACACAATTCCTTCATGTTGTCCCAACACAAATTAATTAAGTTACCAAAATTTAAGCAGATTTAATGTATTTATTAACTAATATTAACAAATACCAAACAATGCATTTATTACAGTATTTGTTCATGTTGGTTAACGTTAAGTATTTTGTGGTGGGATAACATGAAGGAAATGCTCAAGGAAGCACTCAAAAACTTTATTTCTTTACTTGTTCAAACTATTTAATTAAAATAAGCTGAAGCAACACAATTCTTGAGATTTCATTGGGAAAACTTAATTTTTTATGTTCAATCCACATAATTTTGTTAAAAGTCTTAAGTTAACTTAGTCAATTTGTGTTGGGAGAATGAATGAATTGTGTGGGTTTCACACAATTCCTTCATGTTGTCCTAATACAAATTGATTAAGTTAACAAATTCAAGTAGATTTAAAGTATTTACTAACATTAACAAATACCAAACAATGTATTTATTACAGTATTTGTTCATGTTAGTTAACGTTAATTATTATATCCTTATGTTTTCCGTGTGACAGTTTGTGTGTGAATCATTTTAGTTAGTCTTAAATGTTACTACTCGTTTCAGAACACACTGTTTCATAATAAGTTCAAGACTCAAAAAGAAAAAAGACCTTTGCTGTTTGTTTAAACGACTTATTTAAAAGAGCTGAATTAACATAATTCTTTTTGAGGGTTTTTTTAGGGACAACTTGATTGTTTTATGTTCAATCCACTTACATTGTGTTGAGAGAATGTGAAGGAATTGTGTGGAAGCCGGCATATTTACAGTGAATTATATAACATTTAATAATATAAAATGACTTATTATACACTGTAAAAAATGCAGGATTCCACACATCATTCATGTTGTTGCAACACAAATCAAAGTTTATTAATTTAAGTAGATTTAACAGAACAAAATTAAGTTGTCCCCCAAAAATCTCTGTAATTGAGTTAATTTTAAATAAGTAGTTTAAGCAAGCAGAAAAAAATCATTTTTTTTTAGTGTAAAAGAGCAGAATTACATTACATTCAATTAAATTATGCATCATGAATTTGCTCTCCTGCCACTGGAAATATGTTACTGTAGCAACAGTAACAGCTAACGTTGTGGGAATTCCATAGCAACATTTGGCGAACGTTCTGGAACGTTTCAAGAAATGTTCTACAAGTTGTATTTTAGGACACTGTAAAAAATGAGGGGTTCTACACAATTCCTTTATGTCGTCCCTACACAAATCAATTAAGTTAACTCAATTAATTTTGCAAATTTAAGTTGATTGATCATAAAATGATTAAATTATCCCTCAAAAAAACTCAAGAATTGTGTTGATTCAGCTTATTCTAAATAAGTAGTTTGAAAAAACTGCAAAAAAAAAATTGAGGGTAGAATGTTCATTTTAAGTCTCGATTTAAATTATTCAATTTAAATTATTATTTACTTTAATAATGTTCTCAAGACACCAATAAGTTATTCATACATTGTGTGTGTTACTTTTTTGTGTGAATCATTTTAGTTGGTCTTAAATGTTACC